GGCCCCAACCATTTTCATATTAATATTCTTCACTAATGCTCCTGTAAGCTCCTAATCCATGTAAGTTTGGAAGTAGCAACCGAGATATAAAAATAATTTTATAAATACTGGGTTGGTGCAGACATTATAGTATGCTGGGTTTTTAAGGGTATCTGACAGCTGCTTTTTGGTGCTGCTGTGAGCAGGTGCTTTAGAATGTTCTGTTAAAGACTATGAGAATGCATTCCGCATGGCTGGGAGCTCTGCATAGTGGAGTTGAGTGGGAGGCCAAGCGGGACTGGAGCCTTGGGAGGGTGCTCCCCTGAGTCGGGAGGCACGCTGCAGGCTAAGCAAGAAGCAGGAGCCCTCCTTGACCCTGAGCCCTCAGGAGGGTGGAGCCTGCGGAACATGAGGTTGGAGACCAGGTGTCACTGTGAAGATTAGAAAAGCGCCGCTTACACCTGGGCTGTGAGGGCAGGACTTGGCACCGTCTTGGGAGATCTTTGCTTGGTGCCTGCATTTTTAGTCTGAGTAGCATTTTTGATTGTTTTTAGATTCAGTAGTTGTTCTTTTAGGTATACATTTATATAGAAATTCTCCTTTGCATGCAGTGTGCAGAAATACTTGACGCGTGTAAAAAGATATTCATGACAGCATTACGTGAAATCATGAAAAGTGAACAATTTAAAATTTCATATACGCCATAAATACTTTTAACTGTCTCTTTTTCTGGTGATTGTTTTCCTCATCAAAATCTTTTACTTTTTTTTTTTGGTATCGGGGATCGAACCTAGGATCTTGCATTTGCTAGACAGGCACTTATGCTGCTGAGCTATATCCTCAGCCCCTATTTTGGTCTTTGTGTCTGGGATTTTGTATTTTTCACTATGAAAAACTTTTTCACTTCAGGATTATGAAGTAAAACGGTTTGCTATATTGTCTTTTAATACTTTCATTATTGTTTTTGCTTGCTTCTTGTAGATAACCCGATTCATCATAGTTTCTTGTGTGTGTGCTTTTGCAGTGGGATGTTGCTTAAACTGCAATGAATATTGGTAGGTGGAGAGAGAATCTAAATTAGACAGTGTTGTCTTCCTGCCTAGAAGCTGCACACGTTTCCATTTATTCAGGGTGTCCTTTGTGTCTCTTAGTAAACCTTCATAATCTTCTAGCTTTAGGGTTTCTTGTAACAAGGATGTTATTGAGGTTAGGCATTCAGATGAGGTTTTGAACATCTGTGAAGTTTTTTGCTACTTTTGTGAAGTTTGTTGCTCATTAGGCAGTCAGATTTTGTTAAGTGAATCTGCTTCTTTCTTCTTCCAGTCCAGCATCGCACCTCCACTTCTCCATAAAGCACCCACATACGCTCTCCTGGGAATACTACACTATGTTTCAGTGTAAGGCCCACCTCGTGATGCGACTGATCGAGAACAGAATCAGCATGGAGTTCATGCTCCAGGTAGGTGCTAATGGGCAGCTGAGAGGCAGGAAGAGCGGTGTGCCCTGGCTGCATGTGGGGGGTACCTGTGAGTGGCTCTGCTCCCATCCTCCTTTCCTCGGGTGTTGGAGCTTGTCGGTCAACACCTGGCCCGAGCTGAGTGTGACTGTCAGGACGGTGAAGCTAGAGTGCGAGCATGAGCGTGACCCACGTGTCCATACAGTGTTGCATTTGCAGTGCTTAGAATGTTAAGTTAGAGTTCCATGTAGTAATGTTTCCAGTAGAGAAAGCAAAGGGTCTCACTATGTAGCCCAGGCTGGCCTTACACTGACGGTGTAGTCCAGGCTGGCCTGAACTCTGTGATCTTTCTGTCTCACTTGTTTGTTTATCCTTTTATTTATTTTTATTTGGTATAGGGTCTCGCTATGCAGCTTGGGTTCGTAGTGATCCTCCTGTCTCAGTTTCCCCGGCGCTGGGATTAGAGGTGTGTGCCACCACGCCCAGTTTTGGTGGCCAGCTAGGCGCACCGGTTCTGGGGCAGGCATGTCACGTGGTACCCAGGATCAAATCCAGGTCCTTGTGCTTGCCAGGCAGGCACTTACACCGACGAGCTACCTCCCTAGCCCCTCACTTGGTTTTAATAGGAAAAAGAACACAGATTTATTGTATGCCTAAAATAGAGTGTTAGGCTCCTGATGAGTACTTCTCTCATGTGGCAAAGAGAATTGTAGGTATTAACGTTGTCCTGATTCTCAACAGACAGAATATTCTGTGTCCAGTATATCCTTAGATTCAGAAATGTTTGTGTAAAGAGTGCCTTTATACTGTGGTTGTCTAAATCGTAGCATGTTTGTGTTGCTTCTAGTGTTTAACTAGAAGTTAATGCGTTAAGAGAGTTGACTACAATAAAGTGCAAAACGGGCACCATGCACAGCCGACACAGTGTGTTACATGGACTTACCAAGCGGCGCTTTCATCCCTGCAGGTTTTCAATAAACTGCTAAGTCTGGCCAGTACTGCTTCATCGCAGAAGTTCCAGTCACATATGTGGAGTCAGATGTTGGTTTCCACATCAGGATTTTTGAAATCGATTTCCAATGTCTCTGGCAAAGACATCCAGCCCTTAATAAAACAATGGGTGTATCCTTTTCAGTAGAGTTTGGAAGTACAGAAGGGGTACGATATATACGAGGGGAGTCAGGGATTTGGGGAGCTACAGGGAGTGTACAGTGATTATTTCTAAAGCACAGTGGGAATAACCGAACTGTGGGTCATTTCCTCTGTGGCGTCCACTGATGGACACACACATTGATGCCTGTAGCGTTTGGCTTACCTGGCGTCCGTTGGACTATTGTGAGGAAGCAGGCAGCAGTGGGTGAGAGAGGGACCCCAAAGACTTGTGTGAGCCCTTCTGGGGGGAAGTATCTTCTGACTCCCGAGCTCCTCTGGTCACTACCACGTGAGTGGCCTCGTGGACCCTGCAGTTGCTGAGCAGCACAGTGATTTTTCCTCTCGTGAAACAGATTTTTCAGTGTTTCACAAATTTTGTTTAAATCTAGGGACACATGCAGGCCCCACACCCAGGGTGTGCTGAGATGGCAATTGA